GAGAGAGATCCCAAGAGAATGGAGGAGAAGGGACTGCGGTGTGGCCATCCCCCCTCGGGGATGATTTCTCACTTTCTCTGTCTCTCTCTCTCTGTCTTTCTGGCGAGCACATGCGCTCTATAGCAAAAACCTATCCAAAAAAAAAAAATTTAGGAGGTTCAGTGGTCTGGGATGTGTCTAAAATAAAGGACAAATTATTACATCTCACATTCCCATGATTCCCACGATGAAGAAGAAAACATAGTGCCTCATAGGCCCCTGGGTTTTGGAGGTGGCAAATTCCACACTGAAGAACATTGCTCTGACACATTTTCTGAGTAGCACAGAAGGCTGCCAGCTTTGACAGGAATTTAGAGCAGGAGAGGGCTCTTGGGCAGGCCCAGGCTACAGAGCAGTGGGCGGTCCTAACGCCTGCACTGCACGCTCTAGAAAACTGTGGTATCAGAGGTACATGCAGTGGGCAGAAACACTGTGCGGTGTGGCAAACTCCAGTAGAAGAATCACAGCACAGTCCTGTGGGATTCTTTAGCAAGACTGGGCGGCGTGGAAAACACTGGGCACGTGTGCATGCATGCCCAAAATCCCAGGAGAAAGAAATTATTACATCTCACATTCCCATGATTCCCACGATGAAGAAGAAAACATAGTGCCTCATAGGCCCCTGGGTTTTGGAGGTGGCAAATTCCACACTGAAGAACATTGCTCTGACACATTTTCTGAGTAGCACAGAAGGCTGCCAGCTTTGACAGGAATTTAGAGCAGGAGAGGGCTCTTGGGCAGGCCCAGGCTACAGAGCAGTGGGCGGTCCTAACGCCTGCACTGCACGCTCTAGAAAACTGTGGTATCAGAGGTACATGCAGTGGGCAGAAACACTGTGCGGTGTGGCAAACTCCAGTAGAAGAATCACAGCACAGTCCTGTGGGATTCTTTAGCAAGACTGGGCGGCGTGGAAAACACTGGGCACGTGTGCATGCATGCCCAAAATCCCAGGAGAAAGAAGGAGAAGGGACTGCAATGTGGTCATCCCCTTGAGGGGAAGGTGCTTTCTTACTCTCTCTCTCTTTTCTGCCTATCTGCCTTTGGCCAGTGCACACACCTTATAGCAAAAGAAAAGAAAGAAAAAAGAGAAGAAGAAATACGTAAATACTAAGAGAGCACTCCATTTGGTATTATTTTTGTTAAATTAACTAGGATAAAAAAATCAGAGGAAAGTCCTGTAGTGAAGTCACGTATTTACTAAATTCTGGACATATAATCTCCAGATACTTGTACTTTAAATTTGTTCTGTCAGGCGAATAATTCGTTCAAGGAAGCAGGCACGTGATGGCTGAGAAACTTTAATGGTGTTTGCATTCCGACAGCTGCGCCTCCACTTTGCCCGGATCGTAGCAGCGCGTGAGCATTTTGGGCCCTAGTATGCCAATAAGCAAGGCTCCGTTTGGAGCTGTGATCAAGATGGATAAGAATGCCACCGTCATCACGTCCTTCGAATAGGTTTCCAAGTACGGCGCCGAGATCCTTGCTGTTTCTAGAGCCAGAGGACCTAATACAGCCTGCGTTGGGGGAGAAAACGGGACACAAAGAAAAATGTTACACAGAGTTCGATGAACCAAAGTAAATGGCTCTGCTAAGATAAAGCCCCGAGGCTCCCGAGAAAAGGCACGACTAAGGGTGCGGAGCAGTGGCTGTGAATCCTCAGTTCTGCCCTTCCGGTCCATACACCTGGGGGGAAGAACCAGCGTCCGGCAGTTGGGGCTGACCTCGTGCTTGGTTTTCCCCCAGTGCTCACGTCACCCTCAGGGCCTCGAGTCCTAACTGAGCCAGGGTCACCTTTCCCACGTACCACTAGGTTCTTGTCTGCAGCAAGACAGCACAGCTACTACGCTTTCTCAAGGTTCCCCGAGATGTGTTTTCCTTCTGTTCTTGCCTGAGAGGCAGGTGATAGAGCAGGGCTGACCAGAAGTTTGGAATCCGGCAAAATGGATTTGAATTCTGCCTTTGCTGCAACCAGGCGAGTAATTTTATACACGTGACTCAAGCTCCCTAACCTTCCAATTACTTGTAAAATAAACAACAAAATACTCACCTCTCTAGGTGGCTGTGGAGATTAAATAGGAGAATGCAAAGAATACCTGGGACATAGTAGGTATTCGGATCATGGTAAGTTTCTTTCTGTCTCTACCCCTGATGGGCAGGGGATGAATTCCTTTGATTTCTTTGTTTTGGAATGATGCTACTGGATTATAAAGTTACCCCCAAGTATCTTCTAGTATAGCTATGTTTATTGACATAGAGCAAATTTCCTGCTAACCCTCTCTCTTTGTACAGCAGCCTCCCCTTATCTGGGGGGTACTTTCCGAGAACCTCAGTGGGTGACTCAGGCTGCAGAATGTAGAGAACCCTCTAGAAACTATGTCTTCTCCTATACACACATCCTCTGATAGTTTAACCCATAGATCAGTCCCAGTGACGTGATAATGGCAACAATAAAACAGAACAACTGTAATGGCATACTGTGGTAAAAGTCGTGTGATTGTGGTGGCTCTCTCTGAAAACATCCCCCTGTCCCGTCCTCACTCCCCTGTGGTGTTCCGAGGTGAGGAGTGATGTGAGTGAGTGACAGAGGCCTGGCGAGGGAGTGTCAGCTGCTCCTGGTCTTTTGATGATACGCCAGAAGGGGGACTGTCCATTCCTGTGACCTGGATCTGGAGCCATGACATTGTTGATGGTTAGAAGTGAGGAGCAAGACAGGTTGCTGGGTGGAAATCCTTGGGAGCTGAAAGTGGATTTTTGCTGAACTTCTGGAAGAACACTGTAATCAGATATCGTCTTCTCTCCTTTTGAGACATCAAAATGCTGTTGCAGAAGCTGTCATCTTTTGCCGATCACACAGTTTATTTTGGTGCAAAAAATTCATTCCTTTTTTCTAATGCACATTTCCATGAACTTTTTACAGACTGACCCTCATAGTTATTTCATAAATTTTGGTAATGTCCACACTGCTGGTTCTGTTTCAATGTTCTCTTCATCTTCTTCCTCCTTCATAGAGGACTCAACACGTCCTTCTGATTCCTCATTTTTAATACTTCTCCATGGCCTTCAATGTGTGCTTCTACTTCATTAAGCAAGTTGGCAAATTCTTCTCCACTAACTGTGTGGATGATTTTCTAACTTCTTTGATCCCTTGGAAGCCTCTAAAAATCATTCATGACTTAATAAATTATTCCAACAGGTATTACAAATTTCTGATTTTAATCCCTCCACTGCAGGGTAGACAAATGCCATTACATCAGCAATAATGATCCAGATGACCGAATGCAATAAAATACTGGGTTGTGTATGGCCCTGGCACTCCAAATGACGGTCCTGCCCCAGCAGTTTAAATAATGACATTGTATTTGGAGGTAAAAATACAACCTTGATGTTTTTATTTCATAGGAGATTCAGGATGGTCAGGTGCATTGTCTATTATTAACAGGACTTTACTTTCCAACCTCACCCTTCCAAGTATTTTGTCACTGCTGGGACAAAGCACTGGTGAAGCCATTCTGTAAACGAGAAGGCTGCCGCCCACGTTTTCTGCTTATACTGCGGCACAGACATGTGAGTTTTGTTCTGACAGCTCACGTGTCCACTCTGTACACTCCGTCTGGCTCTACCGCATCCCTGCAGCGCTGCCACAAGTACCAGAGCAGATCCGTCCCTCCTCAGTTTATCCCTGGTGCTTCCTTTGCACTTCTGTGATGTAGGTTTTATTGGGTATCTTCTTCCAGGACAGTCCAGTTCCACCTCAGCTGAAGACTTGCTTTGGACGGAATGCTTTTTTCTTAATCACCTTCTTCAACTCTGCTGGAAATGTGGCAGCAGCTTCTTCATGGACAGAGCCTCTCTCGAAATTATTTTTTTCCTTTCAGACAGACCTCTCCATGTCTCAACCCTTCTGCCCCAGATCCCTGAGTAGCTGGAACTACAGGCACCCAGCTTTTCATGGTGGGCCAGAATCTAACCGGGGCCTCCCATGTGGCCACAATGAGTACCAGCATCGAGCAGCGTGCCACCACGGGTTCTTCGGTAATTTCTGTTTCCCCTTACTTGCAGTAAGCACTTCGTGCCGCCTGTCTTGGGGAGGCCGGTGCCAAAGTCTTCGTCCACACTCAGTGCCTTCCAGCGCACAGGTGGCCGCTGGCCCGACCACACCTTCTGCTCCTGCCTTCCCACCCTAACTGAGGACTCTGCGGCCACGCCGGCGGCAGCGTGTGCAGCCTGAGGTACCAGAGCAAAGTCGGCACGGTTTATTCCTCCTTCCCAATTCAGAGTGAAGATGTGTTCTTACCATAGACCTTCGCTCCTCACATCAGATGCTTTCCTCTCCTTACTGAGAACTTTTGCCTTTTTACTTAAGGAAGCACCTTAACAGTTTCTCTTTGGCATACTCAAATTGCCAGCATCGTTACTCTTGTACTTTGGGGGCATTATGAAGTAAAATAAAGGCTGAACGCAAACACTGTGATGCTCTGGCAGTTATCTGATAACCGGGCTGCCACTGAGTGACTAAGGGCGGGTGACGCATGCAGCTGGGTTTGCCGCACGGAGAAATGACTCCAATTCCAGGTGCTTCGGAATGAGATGGTGCAAGATTTCATCCTGCCACTCAGAACAGCATGGGATTCAAATCTTATGAGCTGTTTATTTCTAGATTTCTCCATTTAATATTTTCAGGTTGTGACTAATCATGGATAACTGAGACTGCTATGAGAGCAAAACTGAAAATAGGAGGGACTACTGTATTTACCAGTTAGGCATAAAATTGCTTTCAGATTTTTAGGAATCAAATACCTCTATTTAATAGGTCTTTGGAGTTGTAGAGTAACAAGATAGTGGTAGAAATATTACCTTTTACATTGGACATTATAGCAAAAGAGCCCTTCAAGATCAATTTCTATAGGGACCAGCAGTTCTTTCTTTGACTGTGTTGCTGGACTTCCATGTAGTCGACCACGGTTCGAGTCCTGGACCTGGTGGCTTAAACTCACGCCGGGCGTGTGTGCATGCATGCCCAAGATCCCAAGAGAAGAATCGAGGAGAAGGGATTGTGGCGTGGCCATTCCCTCTGGGGGGTGATTTCTGGCTTTCTATCTCTCTGTCTTTCTGTCTTTCTGGTGAGCGCACGCGCCCAATAAGAAAAACAAACAAACAAAAACACCTCTCAAAAAAAAAAAAGATCAATTTCTATGTTCCAAGTCAGTGATTAAAGGTGAGATAGCTTCTATATGATAACTTTTTGTTTACTGAACAGAAGTCTTAGCTAGGTGATAGGAAAATATGAATTAGACAGAAAATCAACTCTAAAGAATCTTACAGTTTAGAAGAGGATTTGAACATAAAAGAACTACTAAGAAACCACTGACTTTTTATTTATTTATTTTTTTTTTGAGAGGTTTTTGCTATAGGGTGCGTGCACTTGCCAGAAAGGCAGAAAGACAGAAAGCAAGAACTCACCCCCCGGGGGGATGGTCACAGCACAATCCCTGCTCCTCCATTCTCCTCTTGGGATCTTGGGCATGAGTGCACACGCACCTGGCATGAATAAAGCCACTGGGTCCAGGACTTGAACTGCAGTCTACTACATGGCAGTACAGCAACATAGCCATTATGCCATCGGCGGGTCCCAACCACTGACTTTTAAGAGAGGATCATGATGGGTCACCAGGTGGCATAGTGGTTAAGGCACTGGATGTCCTACATGTCCAACTATGGTTCTAGTCCTAGGCCTGGTGGCTTGAAAATCACACCAGGCATGTGTGTATGCATGCCCGAAATCCCAGAAGAATGAAGGAGAGGGGACTGTGGTGTGGCCATCCCTCCTGGAGGGTGATTTTTCACTTTCCCTCTTGTCCCTCTCTGTCTCTTTCTGGTGAGCACATGTACCATATGTCAAAAAGGTAAAAAAAAAAAAAATAGAAAGAGGGTTATAATGATAACGGCTAAAGCTAGTATGTATACTGTTACATAGCATTTGTCATACAGCAGGGACTATTCTTAACGCTTGACATTTAGAGCATTTAAGTCATTCAGTCTTCATGACAACACTTTCTATGGGGACTACGATTAGATGGTAAATGATTTCCACCTATTGCCTGAAACGTTCAGTATTTCTTTTTTTCTTTTATCTGCCATAGGTGCATGCACCATCAGAAGAGAGACAGAGGAAAAAAAAGGGAAAGTGAGAATGCACACCCTGGGGAAATGGTCACACCCAAATCCTTTTTCCTTCATTCTCTTCTTGGGGTTTTGGGCATGCATACACATGCTCCTGTGTGTTTTTCTTTCTCTTCTTTTCAGAGAGGTTTTTGCTATAGGGCATGTGCACTTGCTGGAGAGAAAGAGAGACAGAAAGCGAGAAATCACCCCCTGGGGTGATGGCCATGCCATAATCCCATCTGCTCAGTACACCTCTTGGGATTTTGAGCATGTATGCATACATGCCCGGCACTGAGCTTTAAGTCACTGGGTCCAGGACTCAAACTGCAGTCAACTACATGGGAGTCCAGCAATGTAACCATTATGCCTTCTGTTGGTCCCTCTGGTGTGTTTTCAAGCCACTGGGTCTGGGAGTCAAACTCTGCAGTTGGCCATGTGGGATTTATCTAGTTGCCATAACCACACACTGGCTGGCCCAACTTCTATTATTTCTCTGTTAACACACTGATCTTACATTGTGAACTAAATTATTTACCCTTTTAATAGCTCCATTTCTCCACTTTAATTTTCATCCGTATTTCTTTTCTTTTTTTTTTTTGGAGAGGTTTTTGCTATAGGGCGCGTGCGCTCGCCAGACAGACAGAGAGAGAGACAGAGAGACAGAAAGCAAGAAATCACCCCCCCAGGGTGGATGGCCACGCTGCAATCCCTCTCCTCCAGTCTCCTCTTGGGATCTTGGGCACGCACACACACGCGCCCGGCCTGAGTTTTAAGTCACCGGGTCCGGGACGCAAACCGCGGTCGACTATGTGGGAGTCCAGCGACATAGCCATTACACTAACTGCTGGTCCCTTCATCCGTATTTCTAAATAGAGGAATAAGAGAAAGGGCCAGGCCACATGGCCCACTACATGGCTCAAGTCCTAGACCCAGGGACCTGAGAGACATGCTGGGTGCCTGTACACGTGGGCCCCAAATTCCAAAACGATAAATGGAAAAGGGACTGGGATGTGACCATCTCCCATAGGGATGCTTTCTCGCTTTCCTTCTCTCTCCCCTCTGGCAAGCACATGTGCTCTCTAGCAAAATTAAAGATAAATAAATAATGGACTGAAACGTAACCAGTTTTACTTCAGCAGCAAAGAATAGAGGAAGAGGATAGAAGTGAAATTTCTTAAATTTAAAAATTTCGACATCATCAGAATTTCTGACATAACATCATCTAGTTACTGTTGTGATTCTCTACTTGCACAAATGATTAATTTTATATCTTGCTGGTCTCTGGAATCAGTTTGATACTCATTGTACAGAAGAGAGCCTGAACCTGGGACCAGAGGATGACAAAATGGTTACGTCATGGACTACCACATGGTTGACTGTGGTTCGAGTCCCCGACCCAGCAGCTTGTAAAAATGCCCAGCACATGGATGTGCATGCTCAATATCCTGAGAGGAGAATGGAGGAGAGGGATTGTGCGTGGCCATCCCCCCGGGGGGGGGAATTCTGTCTGTCTCTACAGCGAGCACATGTACCCTGATAGCAAAAATCCCTCTTAAAAATAAAAAAAAGGAGAAGACAGCCTGGACCTAACAGACAGGAGGAGGCAGAAGCAGAATAATATTACAGGATTATCTTTCTTTCCCTGCTTTATAAAAATCATGAAATAATAAAAGAAAATAGCAAGTGCACTGTTGGAACAAGGGAGAACAGAATAGCAATAATTCTCCATTTGTAGATGTGCCATTCCCTGCAGCAGAGATCAAAACCAAAAGCATTCTTTCTATTTCGTGAAGGTCAAATCACACGAGCACGACACGTGTCAGACTGTGCTCATCCCCTTCACGAAGGTTTTCTCTGTCGGTGCTCACGGACTGCTGTGAAGTAGCTATAATCACAGACTTCACTGTGAAAAAAGTGCATTGAAGAATTGAGAGCTTAGGAAATAACTCACCTACAGTTACAGGCAAGTAACATGGGATCCTCAACAGTCTGGCACAGTGGGCCAGCCTTTCTTTCTTTCTTTCTATCTTTTTTTTTTTTTTTTTTTGAGAGGTTTTTGCTATAGGGCGCATGCGCTCGCCAGGAAGACAGAGAGACAGAGAGACAGAAAGCGAGAAATCACCCCCCAGAAGGGATGGCCACACTGCAATCCCTTCTCCTCCATTCTCCTCTCGGGATCTTGGGCACACACGCACACACGCCCGGCGTGAGTTTAAGCCACCGGGTCCAGGACGCGAACCGCAGTCAACTACATGGGAGTCCAGCGACATAGCCATTACGCTAACTGCTGGTTCCAGTGGGCCAGCCTTTCTAACCATGGTAGTAGAGAACTGTGTTGTACAGAAACTTGCCAGCTTCTGTTTTTTGGGGGGTTTTTTTGGAGAGGTTTTTGCTATAGGGCGCGTGCACTGGCCAGACAGACAGAGAGAGACAGAGAGACAGAAAGCGAGAAATCACCCCCCGGGGGGATGGCCACACCGTAATCCCTTCTCCTCCACTCTCCTCTCGGGATCTTGGGCACGCGTGCACACGCGCCCGGCATGAGTTTTAAGCCACCGGGTCCGGGACACGAGCTGCGGTCGACTACATGGGAGTCCAGCGACATAGCCATTATGCTAACTGCTGGTCCCACCAGCTTCTGTTTTAAACTGACAATGGAGAAAAGAACCTCAGGAAGTTAAGGAAGGTATTCTGCTGCTAGGTTAAACAGTCTAACTAACAATAAGCAGATATATCTTTCAGTAGGAAAAAAATAATAAACAAGTAAAGGCATAAATTGCCCTTTTTATTCATTCATTTATTCATTCTTACAAGTATTCAATGCATATTTACCTTCTGCATACTGGACATCGTATTAAATACCAGGGGACAATAGTGAAAAAATAAACAAAACAACCCAGACACTATGCCTGTCCTTCTTATGTACTCTTTTTTCCCATGGGAGAAAGAAGAAGTCAGTCACTAATCAAATAATCATGCAAATAAATATAAAATTAAAAACAATGTTATATGCATTTGTGTGGTAGAGGAAGTGGCAGAGGTAGGAAAAGATAATTTAAAAAGTATATTTATACTTTAAAATAATAACATTTAACTCTATAGTATCTAGCAAAATATAAATTTACAGTTTTTAGGTATACTCTTAATTATATTTTAGGAAAACAGAAAAATATTTTCATTAATTTAGAAAGTATTTTTCATTAAAAATAAGCATTTCAATTTCAGAAGAATTGCTTTTTAAAACTGAGACATTAAAATGTTAAATTATTTTGGGACCAGCAGTTAGTGTAATGGCTATGTCGCTGGACTCCCATGTAGTCTACCGTGGTTTGAGTCCCGGACTCAGTGGCTTAAACTCATGCCAGGTGCCTGTGCGTGCGTGCCCAAGATCCCGAGAGAAGAATGGAGGAGAAGGGATTGCGGCATGGCCATCCCTTCTGGGGGGGTTATTTCTCGCTTTCTGTCTCTCTGTCTCTCTCTGTCTTTCTGGCGAGTACACGTGCCCTATAGCAAAAACCACTTAAAAAAATGTTAAATGATTTATTTAACAGTTATGATCAATAAAAAATTTAAAAAGTAAGGCTAATTATTTTATGATTGGAATACGATTTTTCCTTTGGAAAAAAATCATCAACACTAAAATTGTAAGAAAAGCTTAATAAGTTCTTACCTGGACTGTAGCTTTGGGCATCCATGATAAAGCAATAAATATTTTCTCCTTCATACTAAAACCAGCAAAACACATCAATGTATATGTGGTTAAAATGCGAACACATAACGACAAACTTATGGTAGCAACACAAATGCCTACAACAGATAAAAATAAATAAATAATGAGACATTTGGGAGGAAGTGATTTGTTATGCCTAAAGATACGATTTAAAAAACTGTTGTAAGCCTTTTAAAGCTATTGCCTTTTTATGTGTTTTTTTTAAAGTACTTATAAAACAATAATTATAAATAATATAAATATGATTGAAGCATCTACATAAGTTATGAGACTATTTAATAGTGGAGATGCCACAAAAAATAAGACAAATGAAACTTATTTAATTTTTGAGAATTTTTAAATGAAACTATTCAAAAGGTGTCAACAGTATCTAATATTTCCCCTCATAAAGAAATCTTTTTATTTCATTTTCTCAGTTCACTCCTGGAAAATACAGGATTGTCTTTGTTAAACAAGCAAACAAAAAACCAGAGCACACATTGTATACAAAAAACAAATATATGTTATTATGTCAACACGAGTTTCTGTAAAGGGGCCTTGTAGTCATTTATTTATTTATTTATTTTTTGGAGAGGTTTTTGCTATAGGGCACGTGTGCTCGCCAGAAAGACAGAGAGAGACAGAGAGACAGAAAGTGAGAAATCACCCCCCCCGGGGGGGGGGAATGGCCATGCAGCAATCCCTTCTCCTCCATTCTCCTCTCAGGATCATGGACATGTACGCACAC